TATACTGCTATTATATTAAACAACTTCTTTTTAATTATTTTTGTAATATATACCAAAGTTGTCTTTAAGCATTGCTTCAAAATGCTTGCTTATCCAAACCTCAGTAGGTTAGTACTTTTTAGAGTCCTATCAGTTAAACAACAAAACTCACAGTTCACACTCAGCATCAATATTTATCCAACAGAAATACAGAAGACTGCTGTAGATGCATTTACATGCACGGCTCTCTTCAAAATTTAAAAAAAAAACAAAAAAAACCCAAAAACAAACGTATCTTCCAAAATTAAATTATTTTTGTTTTGTTTTGTTTTTTCTTCTGTCTTTTTCATCCTGGCAGAAATAAGACGTCCAAAATACAGATTTCAGTGTATTATTAGGTGTTTATCTTACAGAAATGTCCAACAGATATTTCGTATTTCAGAAAACCTGAATACAAAAACTAATTGTCTCAATGTAAGTAATCAGTGGAGGATGTTCCATGATTAAATGGCTATGAAAAAGCCATGTTAAAACCTGCAAGTATCCACTTGTCTTGGATTGGTGTGAATTGTATCATCTGACTGTAAACACAAGAACACCAGGCTCTGTGTGGACAATTCGCTGTGGGCACACAGACTTATTAGTTTCATGAGAGGCGCACATCACACAAAAATCTTCTTAAAATGAAGATGCCCTTAAAGGGAAAGAAGCTCAACACAGATAAATGAGGATTATTTGGAACTGAGAATCATGCAAAGAAACTTTGTTACAGCTCAAGAATAAAAATATTGAGCTTAAAACGAGCCTAAAAAGCCCCCTTTTAAAATACTTGTGGGTGTTGTAAACATTAATTAAAATGTACTGGACTGAATCATCGACACATCTTTCTGGCTGTTACTCCTTGTGGCGCTCATAAATAATGCCTGTAACTTGTAAATATTGTTGACAGCCTGCAACTACAAGTGAAACAGTATCAGTCAGTCAGACATCAAGAAATCAAGTAGCTGAGCGACCACAAACGCATATCAAGAGCGACTCGACAAAACTCCGTAATTTAGGCAAGTGAAGCCAGATGAAGCCATCCCTCACTGAGAGCATGTCTCAGGATTACATCCACTCTTGCTGGGAAGCATTTAATTTCTCCTTTCAGCACAGTGACACTTCAATCTTTTCCCTGTAATTACACATTATTAATGTTATGTAATTTCCAGAGACAGAACCTTGGATGCAGTGACAGAATTATTGACATTAGCTGGTGATGCTTCTTTCCTATGGCTTCTACAAAAAGACTGTGCCTAATTATGTTCCGATTAGGGTTTTTATCTCCGAGGCTGAGTGAGGTGACAGGACACGGACACAACTCCACACTCCAAAAGCCACAAAACATTTTTTTTTTTGTAATGCTAGGCAACATCAGAGTTTAGAAATTTGTCACTATCATACATGTATATGTGCATTTTTTTCAACACTTGTCCATCAGTTTTATGCGACTAATGTCGCTATTGTGAAGGTGGAGTGTTGCTGCAGCTTTCAGACACTTTGCTTTCTATTCACATCTTTTATCATTTCATCTGATCACAGGAAAGAAAACTGGAAAATGTTCACCATTTACAGAGCGCAATAAATAGTTGTGTGAAAGATGACTTTCTCAGATGTCATTTCTACCAGTAATAGTTTCATAGTTGTGGCATCTTAGCTCTTTATTGTAAGGTAATTGAGGTATTATTACATGGTGAAATTGGGTGACTTTTACCCTTGGAGGAAGCAGGCAACAAGACAGCAGACATGTCTTCTAGAGCGATTACAGAGATTGCCATGAAAGGCACATATCAGGCTTTCTGGAGTTGATCGATACTCAGCATCAGAACAGGCGACTGTATGTCCTGACCTCCAAGATTATGTCAGAAACCCAGTGGGGTATTTTGTGACCTTTTGTAATGCTATCATTTTGTGATATACAGGCATTTCAATGTAAAGTATTTCCTTCGATTGAAGTCACATTTTTGTCCATAAAATGAATATTTTTTGGATCACTTGCCAGAGCTGAACGCCACAAATGCAACAGCTGTTTTATGTTTGTGCTTCACGATGCATGTTTGGAGTGTGACAATGAGAACTGTTCTCTCATTCTTTTTTTGTCCAAAACAAAAAATAACTACTTGCATAGACTAAACACAAAGAAGGGAGACGAGAGCCCCAGCAACGACAATCAAAACAGGAAGAAAAAAGGGAAAAAACACCTAC